CCGGTCGGGCCAAGAGGCCCCACTCCGACTCAGTGTCACCCGCGGCCACTGCCAACCGCCTCGCAGAGCCACTCGTCTCGCCGGGACTCGAACGCTCCTCTCCACGCATCTCCGCGCTCGGCCCACTCCGGCCCATCGGATTCTGTTGCTCCCGGCCTCGTACACCGCGGCCGGGTGGACTCGAACTCACTTCTATCAAACTCCCTCCTTAACACGCCCACCCACCCCATCTTGCCTCTGCAAGACATGTGTACATTTGTGTTCAGCTAACCGCGACTCCACACCCACAGGCTCGGGAGTACATGTTCTCTGGGGAAAAGCACGACTCAACTTCTGACCTTTCACTGGCGCCACGCGTGGATTTCTTTCAAACCGCACTCACGTCCGCCTGCCCTGATCGGCCGGCCGCAAAGACTGCAGGTGAGTCCCCATTTCTCTGGAGACGACATACGGCAACACCAGTCCAGTGTCTGAGACACTTTCTTGATGTGCATTTAGTCTAGACGACAACTACAAGACACAGGTCTATGCCACGACTCAAGACTTACCGATAGCCTCGGAAATTACTCACGTCAAAATGAGATGGCGTCGTGGATGGTGGTAATTTTCGCTTCGTCTGGAAAGTCGTCTGGAAAGAATGTGTGAATCTGGCTTTACTGGAGGCCGAGGGATGGGGTTGATTTAAAGTTGTGATTGTGGATTTGCGCAGAGAAGTCTTCGGTGAATGCTCATTTGACTCCAATCTATCCGTAACACCCAACCTCTCTTCACGGCAAAGATACGGGTCCAATTTTTTTGTAGACAACGAACGATTCATGTTGTGACTTAAGAAATACAGTTCGATTCGAGTAAAAGTATCGAGATTGGTTGCATGTTTGCATCACGTACATTCTTGTTATGAATGCAGTTTTGGAAAGTCACATCCACCATGTCACCTACTACTAGCAACCGTGGCCGGTTGGTGAGGTGGTCAACTGTGTATTCACGATGCGCACTACTCGGTTTCGAATCCCTTTATAGGTTCCGCTGAGACCCAAGGCCAGTGGAACTTTCTCTTCAACGGTATTATGGAAGACTCATCAAAAGGTTATCAGGAAAACTCCACTATCAGTCCAACAAATCATGTTTTTTTCCCACAAAGGTGATGCTATCGAACTATGACATTTCGATGAGAAATCCTGGAGACTAACGATTCTAGACGAATAGGCATGCTCCACATGACCTCATTTATGTTACTAGCAAAAGGGTCGGTTTCGATGAATATCTTGGTTCATAAGTATTAAGCTTATTTAATTTTGAATGCAAGTGTTTGTGCATTTGTGTGTGTGTGTGTGATGAGGAAATTTGAAGGTCTCAGGGACGTTTTGAGGCGGACCATGATAATGTTGACATGATTGCCTGTCCCATGCGATTGTAATGCTATTCAAAGTCCTGATCGAAATAGCTGAATGAGTTGGCACTAACCCGTTACTAGATTGACTTTATCTGGACTGTTGGGCTTACTTCCATTTTGAGTGAAAGTTTCTGGGAAAAAGATTAGAAGGTTTACCTCACAAGGAGGCGACGGCGCATTCCCCTTGATCAGCTGTCAGTCGCTTTACTCGAACCTTCTTGCTAATGCTGTTCCCGAGGAAATCTGCTTTGATTCCATTGAGAACCTGCTAAGCTTTCGTCCTTCATCGTCAGACAGACATCCTCGTAACATTCTAACAACCCTATTCAAACGAACGATCTAAGAAATGTGGCTGTAAGAATGAAACCCTGTCCTGCTGACGCCCGTCATATGACAGACCATTTTTCCGAATTCGGAGGAGAGATGCTTACATGAACAGCGTCCGCCGGAATGTTCCAGTAAAGTCAAACACCGTCGTCTTCAAATCTCTTTATCACAAACACAGACTTTCATTCAAAATGGAGGTGAGCTCAAATATTATAGACCAAGAGATTCCTCGAAACCCAAATTTTCCTCTCTTCCTAGATAAACTCACAACTAAATATGGAACTATATTGATAGAAATAAATAAATATAGAGTCATTTAATCAGCCATTTTTTACATTACCCCGTGGACATATTTCTCAATTTGTGTGCATTGGCATTTGTGTGTGCGTACGTCAGAGTAGGAAATGTCCATAATATCTCGAGGGTTAAGTGACACAATACAGAGCCGGATTGCTGTATCGTTTACACGGGAAATGAAGAAGTTTCCTACCAGAATGCTCTTGTAAAGCATGAATAAAGCGCCATCGTCTTCTGATGAGATTGGCCTTCGAGTCTCTTCTTTCGATAGGCACGTAAGCGCAACAATTATAAAACAAGAAATTTCTCGAATCCTTACTTTTTTAACAATACTCCGCATCGAAGGTATGAAGACCAATATGGTGTGGCCTTTTGTGTGGTTGCAGTCTCTTTTCGTTGTATAGAGATTGTCTGACCTTGTTTTCGCAACATGGTCACATTGGTAGGAAGATTTAGAGGAACGCACCTAGACTTGTCTCTTTGACGAGTTGTTGTGTGGTGCTAAGAATGGCGATACTTACTGACGATGCCGACTACGACGCCAACGAAATGTTTGGGCATGTACCACGTCCACGGTTGAACCTTGGAAATGATCATGCAAACAATGGACCCCGGACTAG